CACTTGCATAAATTTTTCCATGATTTTACCTTGTATGAACTATTTTAGATAATTACAATGTTTCTCTCTACATGTATGTTTCTACTTAATAAATGCATCTAAATCATTTTAGAAATTATAATCGGATTTTCTCCTGACATGAGGTGATGTTAACCGACTACATTATCATATCTTTGAAATAACTACACAAGAAGAACTATATGTTTGTTTAGTGATATTATCTTCTATCTATGCTCATGAATCCTAACATGGGATGCAATCCAAAACCCAAATGCACAAGGACCCAAGTCAAGCCATGCTTTATGCATATGCATGCATACATATGTGATTGCATTTATGTTCAAAGTTAGGAATGAAAAAGTTTTTAATTTGTTTCTCAAATTTTAATCATGCAATATTTTAGGTTGGTCTCACCAAAGTTAAAATGGAAATTTTTGACTCTCAAAAATAGAAAAATTATCTTCCAACTATCTTGACAAGAAATTTTTTTAAGGTCTATAACTTCGGGTATGTTACACAGCAAAACTTGAAGGACTACATTGTTTTTTCGGATGTGGATTTTCATCCCTCAAGGGGACATTCCTCGTTGTTTGCATGTCATCTAAATAGTTATTAAAAAATGAAAAAAAAACATTAACAACATACATTAATATGAAATATATCACTCCCACAAACATGTAAAACCAAATTCAACTTCTACAAGTTACAACAAAAAGAACAAATTAAACTGAAAATAGTTATCGTACAATCGCAACTATATTTGTTATTTTTGTTACAACTTGTAAAAGTTGAATTTAAACTAGCATATTTGTGAAGTGATATATTTCATATTAACATATGTTGCTAAATTTTTTCAAAATTTTTGATGACTATTTAGGTGGCATGCATGAAACGAGGCAATATCCCCTCGAGGGATGAAATCATTTTCCCTGTTTTTTTATCACATTTGCTAATACGTGCACGATTACTATTGAGACCCAAGAATAATCAGAAGGCTCTCATGACGAACATCATGTAGGAGACGAGATCCACCTCGTAGTGGACAAACTCGGCCTCTCGGCAATCCATGTCGACCTTCCTCACCACCATGGCTCCCATGTCGAGCACCAGAGGCCGCCGCCGCCCGTCGTCGTCGTCCCTCTCCAGCAAGAGCGCGCCGCTCCCCTCGCAGAACCACCCCAGCCTCGTCCTCCCCAGCCATCCGTCGCCCAAGCTCGATCCCTCCATTGGCCACGCCGCGATGATGCTCTCCTCGCGGACGACATGGCGCCGCTCCCAGCGCGCGGCGGCGGCGCGGACCCAGACGGCGATGTGGTCGCCGACGAGGACCACCACGCTCAGGCTCGTCGCCGCGCCGGCGCCGGTGCCGTCCGACGGCGACGGCGACAGCGCGAGGCACGTGTCGTACGCTCCGGATTCGCACGGCGGCGGGAGCTTCATCAGCGACGCCATGGTCGCCTGCGCGCCGGCGGCGGCGGCGGCGTCCCGATTTGGCCACTTGAGGACGAGGATGCGGTGGCGCGAGTGCGTGAGGCAGAGCCAGTGGACGGCGCCGCGGAGGACGACGGGCTTGGCGTGGCTGTGGAGCTCGCAGTCCGTGGGGATGGCGCAGGCGAGGGGAGGGCCCCACTCGCCGTCGTCGGAGGAGAAGACCTGGACGTTGAGCGTCCGGGGAGAGCTCTCGGCCGGCAGGTGCGCGACGAGCAGCTTGAACGACGACGAGCAAATGGTTACTGCTGCTGCAGCCGCGCCGCCGTTGTGGTGGTGGTGGTGGTGGTTTACGACGTCGAGGAGGACGATGCTCTGGTCGAGCACCTCATGGTCGTGGGGCGGGAGCACCCATCTCCCGCCCGACGCGGGGTTCCACACGGTGAGCTCCCCGCCGTGATGGTGGCTGACGACATCGCACCGCCGGCGGAGCACGACGAGGGACCTGCGCGACGACATGGGCCGGTAGGGACCACCAAAACGCACGCGCCGGCGCCGCCATGGCTGCCGTCGATCGGTCGTTCAACTTCAACGTCAGCCGGTGGCGAGACGGGAGGTAGCGACGACGCGGCGGCGATGCTCGCGCCGGCGGCGGCGCCGCGGGCGGCGGGCACGAAGGCGAGGGGGCAACACGGGTCGTCTCTTGGGCGGTGGTACACGCCGAGGAGGAGAGACGGGATGAAGGAGGGGTCGTCGTCGTCGTGGCCGGTGCCGGACGGGATGACGACGCGGCGGAGGAAAGAGGGATGGAGGATGAGGCGGCGGAGGGGCTTGGAGACGGCGGCGCAGCGGATGATGGTGGCCGGGCTGCGGCTCCTGGCGACGATGTCGAGGACGAGATCGTCGGGAAGAAACTGGTGTGAGATCTTCTTCATCATCTCCCAATATCGACTATTCTCATGTCAAAAAAATATATATATATCGACAATTCTCATCGTCTTCGCCTTTAAATTCGAGCATTTGTTTGTTTGAATTTAAAAAGGGAACTGTATCTCCGGCCGGAAGTTAAGCACGATTCGTTGCTTGCTATTATATCCCGTTCGGTAATAAGCGCCAGGTATGTGTTTTCAAATATTTATATGGGACTAGCAATAGGAGTATATGTCAACCGCTAATTTTTCTTCAAAAGAGTTCGATGCGTTTAAAGTTACCGTATTTTTTTATAGCAACGGTTTTGCGTCCCTAGCGTTTTGGAAGCAGATCGTCTGACGTTGGGCGGCCAACGTCACAGGGACGTCGGGCATCGATCCATCGTCCAATCGGCATCTCACGGTGCTACTGCTTCCTTCGTTCCGCATCGCACGAGCGCAACGAATAGGGCGGTCAAATAGGCTCGCAGTCGGCCCACGCCAGTGAAAATGGCCCACAAACATCCTGATTGCCGTGCGCTACCGCCGTTCGTTGCTCTGTTTCTGGAGGGAAAAAAAGGGCGCCAATATACTTGAATGGAGGGAAAAAAAAGACCTTTCGGCTGCTGTTCTTATGGCGATGAAGATGGTGAACGAACAACAAGAAGCTTTTCTGCACTTGATCGTAAGTCTGCACTAGTTACCTATCTGCCATTGCTATCTGAAACTCTCAATCTGATTTTGTCACAAATAAAATGACCCAATTAAGGGTGTGTTTAGTTCACGCCAAAATTGTAAGTTTGTTTGAAATTGGAACAATGTGATGGAAAAGTTGGAAGTTTATGTGTGTAGAAAAGTTTTGATGTGATGGAAAAGTTGGAAGTTTGAAGAAAAATTTTGAAACTAAACAAGGCCTAACTTCTTCACATTCTCGAATGCTCACAAAAATCAGAGTATCACATTGACATTATTATCAGATTCAATACTGAATCACAGTCTCAATTCACATCGATTTTCAATCTCAATTCAGATATAACCAAATTCTAAAACATATGTTGTCGCCCTTCAGAAAGCTATGGTGGTGCTGCCGTGCTGGTCGCCTCCCTCCCATGCCTGTCCGGGCTTGGCAGCAGCGGTCGCCCTTTCGCCCGTTTTTGTGCGGCTCTTGGCATTCCTCCGACGTGGGTGGTGGTGAAGAAGAGCTTGGCGCCGCCGCCGCCGCCGCCGCCGTAGAAGCCGTCATTGTCGAGGACGCCGACGCCTGGAAGCTTTCGCGTGGGGGAGGACATGGGGCCGAGGGCTGGAGAGGAGGGCAACGTCGAAGGAGTCTTCCTCGGCAGTCCGCTCCTCCCACGCCCGCGTCGAGGAAGGCGGCGAGCCGCAGCAGAGCGGCGGGCAGCCATGCCGGGATTGGTTTTTCTTTTCTTTTTTTTTTCTGTGCGACGGTGGATTGACGAGCAGTCTCGTTCGTTTTTGTCCCTCCGCAGTTGCTCGTAAATGGGCTGAATGGGCCATCCTTGCCACGCTCGTGCGATGCAGAACGAAAGAAGCAGCAGCGCCGTGAAATGCCAATCGGACGATGGATCGACGCCCGACGTCCTATGACGTTAGCTGCCCAACGTCAGACGATCTGCTTCCCTAGGTTTTTAGCTAGGGAACTTTTTTTTTTCATCTGATATGCTTTAAGAACTTTAAACAAAAATCAAACTCTACCGATGAAAGCGACCGCAAAGTGCGAAGGAGGAAGAAGGGCAAGAAGGGGAGGAACCCAATAAGGTGCGATATCACCATCTCTGCCATCTATGAAGAGCTCGAGGAGATAGAGGTACAGAGGGTGAGGTGGAGAAAGCAGGACCCACTGACCACTATTTTTATCTTCTTGTTTGATTGACATGCGGGGCCCACATATTTTTTTTTATATTTTTAGTTTTCAATTTTGATGCTTTTATATATTTTTTTTGGGGGATTGTACTGTCACGTAGGCATCATGTCAATGCCATGTGGGACGAATACCTAGTCATAAGGAGTCACGTAGACGCCCATGAGATAAAACCGGAGATAATACTTCCGAGGGACCTTGTTTACACTATTTTTTAAGCTAGGAAGGGTTGTATCATCATGTTTTTGGTTCAAGGATTAAAATCAGACTAGGTGACAAAGGGGACCTAAAGTGAACTTACTGCGTATATTTTTCCCCTTCATTGAATCTGCTACTTTTGGGGGCCCATTGACCAGCCTGGCATTTCGCTCACTTGGGTCGTGTGTTTCTTCTCTGCCGGACAACTTGGTCACAAACATTCATCAAAATATTGTGGCTATTATATTTCTCCTCTTTTGAGATACAACCATAAAAAGAAACTAAACAATTAAAATTATTTATGACTATCATTAAACTATCATAAAAAGAACTCCGAAATTAACTTAAAATAGGTTTCAAATTTTATTTTTTTTTCCTACAGCCGATAAACCACTAAGCAGACGGTAAAAAAACTAGTACTTCTACTTAAGGAGAGAATAATAAGTAGGACTAACAACCACAAACTGGTAAACCGGTAGCTACTTCAGACTCTCTGCCTTTTTTAGCATTTTAAGATCCCATCCAGACTGCATCGAATTTACAATATTCTCTTAAAATAGCTCAAAATTCCGTAGAAATTCGTCTCGATGAGATGTACGACATGTCCTGTTGCTGCCGTACGTACTACTAGTACTAATCTAAGCGGCTGAGCAGCGCCGGTCGAAGAAGGAAGAGTGTTTCAGCTCGGCGAGCATTTGCTGCTGGGTGTGTGCAGTACGCATGTTGGAGAGGGAGTTGTACTACCAAACCTTGGGACAGGTCAGCATCGTGTACTCCAGCTTTGCTCTCCCCTTGTACTGATGGATGGGCAAATTGGCAGGCTATGAGATGTGGTACTAGCTAGTACTACTGTACTAGCAGTGGAATGGTTCAAGGCAAAGACATTGCGTTGCGTGTGTATATATACATCTCCCATGTTTCTTGAATCTTGACGATGATGGCGTTGGCCTAACCGGATTTGCAGTGCATCAGGTAAGGGAAAAAGGATGGTTAGATAGAGAGAAGGGGAGTTCTGTGATTGGAGAGGAGAGGAGACAGGGATGAGGCAGAGCATGGGATGGGGCTATCAACAGATGTAGATTATTCCTTGCACAAGAGATGATGATGAGCTGTGAATGAGTTCTGAGAGATGGCTGGTGTTGTTGTTGCTCCCTCCCCTGCACTGCCTCTTCCCTGGCTCCCCTGCACACCTCTCTCTCTCTCTCTCTCTCTCTGTGTGTTAGTATATTGTTTTTATGTTTTAGTAATTATTTTCCTTCCATAAGTGATACGGTATTTGTAGCATGTAGGTAGAAAAAAAAATGAAACTAGAGTGATGTGACACTTCAAGGGCTGTTGCAAATTAACACATTTTAAAATGGACCAAGCGTACTATTTCTCAGCATGTGGTTCTAGCTCAAAACATGCATTTCATTCGGCATGCCATGCTAGTTTTAAGCTCAGTATAGCATTTCAATAATTTATTTGACATACTAAATCTAGCTCAAAACTGCATTTCATACGGTATGTCATCCACGTTTCTAGCTAAAAATAGCATTTCATTTGGCATTGCTATGCTAGTTTCTAGCTCAAAATAGCATTCTAATTTACATGCATTGATAATTCCTAGTTCAAAATAGTAATTTAAGGGATCTTTTTCCACTTGAACCCGGAGCTGTTTTAGTGCAGGGGAGGAGGAAACTGCGCGGTCTGATGGAGATTGGGCAAGATTGGGACGGAAGGAAGCAGAACAAAGCGAAAAATTCAAGATATGCTTTGCGATTTGCCAATTGCAATAGTTTGCAATAGAATCTCCGTAGTATAATTTTTGGCATGTCCTGCTGTAACTGCCGGAAAGAACAAAAGAAAAGCTCAATCTTGGTTTTCAGACCATGCAATGCAATGATGAACCGTTTGTTACTACTCCATCATGACATCCAAAAGTTCACTCATTTTCTGCTGTTGAGATCATGTGTCTTCAACTAGGGCCCTGTTTTTAGATTCCAACTTTTTTCTTCAAACTTCTAACTTTTCCATCCCATCGAACTTTCCTACATACACAAACTTTCAACTTTTCCATCACATCGTTTCAATTTCTTCAAACTTTCAATTTTAACGTGGAACTGAACATAGCCTAGCATTCAGAGTTTATTTTCCAAAGTATACAGCGCAAGTGTCAGCAGACTCTGCAAAACTTCATGATATATACTACTACTTCCGTCCCAAAATAAGTGTAGCCGTAGATATCCGTGCCAAATGTTTAACCGTCCATCTTATTTAAAAAATTTGTAAAAAATTTAAAACTATTTAGTCACACATAAAGTACTACTATTCATGGTTTATCATCTAATAGCAATAAAAATACTAATCATAAAAAAAATTCAAATAAGATAAATGGTCAAACGTTAAATGTGAATAGTATAAAATTGCACTTATTTTGAGACGGAGAGAGTACACCTGATGCATGCCTGTGTATACTGTAAACCGTTAATGCGAATTGCTTGAGCTTACATCATCACAATTCACAAGACAATTCAAACATTTCACAGTATTTTTAGCTGCCGTAATGGTTTATGCCTGTGTCTGTAATTGCATTCAGTATTTCAGATTTTCAGCGCTCCAATAAAAGCAAGAGTCCGCGACAAAAGGAATCATGCTCACCTCACCTAATTTTGTTTCCTCCATACAATGATACCTACTAATGCTATATAATATAAGATACAATGGGAATACACTGGGCTCCAGAAGCACCAGGGAAGATAATGTTAGCTAGTAAGGTCACCTCCCAGTTCTCTAAATTACAAAAATCAAAATAGATCCTATTTATCTAGCACTTAGAACAGAGATGGATAATCATGCTTCCTACAATTACAAGATAAGAACAAAGGCAAGTTACAAATAATCAAGGCTTCCATGTTTTCATCGTGCAATCTTCAGCATAAGTAGCAATCAAGTTCCTATGAGGGTGGTGAGTGATGCCTATCACATCCTTGTCGTGGACCTGTGAAATTCATGAATACAGAAAGGGGTTATCATTTAGAAAGCATTAATATAACGTTATACAAATACATTATAAATTTGCACATGCCAACAGAACTTCATTTTATGTCATACAAACCTTCATTAGATGCTCCAGTTTACCGGACTGGTAGCTAAAGCAATACATGTTCCTGCAAAATAAGTACGAGTCATGATGGCACTCAAAATAAACTAAGATGATGAAAATGCAATGAAGAACTTTATCACAGTATCCTTACATGTCTTCACCAACACAATATATCCATTCTCCTTTTGGTGAAACGGAAGCTGCAAGGAAATCTCCCCCTTCCCGTTTACCAGATGAAAAACTTTTTACAACCTGTAACAAGTTTCCAGTCAAGAATAACCATAATAGAATTCATAAATAACCATCAAAATGAAAAAAGCAATGCACTTCGATGCTCAATAGCCACTTTATGCCTTTCGATTAAGAACCTAGCATACTCTTTGAGATAGATCCTAAACTTAGAATCCCAGCACACTCTATGGGTTCTTTGTGCTATGATAGTTGGGATTTTTTATGTGATGTCATGTCCCAAAATCCCAATAGATTTAGCTCTAATCACCGCAAACTGTGCATCAGTAGGCATAAACCAGACAAAACCATGATTTAGGTACTTCTATTCTGCACTCAGGAAATAATAATAAAGGTGCAGTGTAAAAATCACTGCAACAATAATACAGTATATTAGCACTGCAACCACATGAAATATTCATGTATGATCTTGATATATATAACAACACTTGATCAAACAGCCACCAGGCTTACTAAAGGAATCAAATGCCCAGAACTAGAAGCCTGAAACATGTAATATATATAGGAGTACATGTTTCGGGCTTATTGACTGCTGAGGAAGAAGTAAAGTACATGGCGATGGACACCTGAATTTTGAACACAAAGAAAACGATAACTAAGACGATGGAATGTGAAGAATCACATTATACCTGTCCTTGTAGAGTCATTATGTATATTGAAGATGTCTTATTGCACACAATAATGTGATCACTATTCTTTGGAGATAAATGGACAGAGTTAACAGTTGCATCTCCTCCCTGGAAATGGAGCACCACCATAAGGTAAGAAGCATGATTGAGGGCCTAAACCAATGTTAATAGAAGAGATCAGATGGAAAGACAAGCTAGTTATTACCCTCAAAGGAGGTGGTGGCTTGAATGTTTGCAAACAATCTGTTGTTTTCGTATCCCACACCTACATCAAGAAATAATACATGAATATGAGACATTTATACAACATGCAGAATAATATATACGGAAGTAGAAAAAAACATAAAGATTAATTGTATACAAGAGATCTATACCTTAACAGTACAATCACTGGAAGCTGTAATAACACGGCTACCATCTGTAGAAAAGATGGCACAATTCACATATGAGTTATGGCCTCGGAATTCCTTCAGCATCTTTCCGGACTTGAGGCCATGTACTCTGCAAAAGTGAAAGAATAAGCCTATTTCTTTCCAGAGATTAAAATAGCAGAAACTGTAATTTCAGAATATGCAAAACCACACTGAAATCAACAGAACCAAAGGTATAAGAAGAAAAACAATATTTTTAAATTAGCAGTTGGCAGGATTTCACAGATACAGATCATGGCTCAGATGTCTGGTAGATGAAAAAAATTCACACGTGGTTTGCAGACTCCAATCAAGCTTTTATTCTGACTTACCATCAAACTAACCCCATATCCAAGCAAACACAATACATCAATGAAGAGCACCTAAATTACTCCGTCAATTAACTGGATTGTACCAAAGAGGCAAAGACTCAAAAAAAAAAAAAAGAGGACCACATGAGCAGTTGCAAGCAGAATTGCTGCACTATGATGCAAATGTCAAGTCCACAAATACTAGAATGGAGAAAAGCATGAAATTTTGCCCAAATAATATACACTAGCTCAAAGCACCAAAATATTGCCTTCAACAATGCTCTTTTTTTTAGAAATTGAAAACAGAAATGTAGAGAGATATTCTGATAACAAATTCAAGTTGGATTATGATTGTAAGAAACCTTGCAGTAGTGTCAAAGGATGAACTCAATATCTGAGTTCCATCACGTGAGAATGTAACACTTGTAACACCTTTTGCATGTGCACGCTCGAGGCGACGCAAACACTGGCCAGTTCGTATACGCCAAACCTTAAAATCAAGTAAGAAATAGTTTAGTATGGCAATTTAGTTCATAATAAGAACATTTTTGGCATAACAATTAGAAATTAGATATTTGAGCAAATAACTTTGGTCTGTGCGCTCTATTAATGTATTTATATGGTTTTACCAAATGAATGAATGATTGTAATCAAATATGACCAATAATGTATTTGTTCAAGTAGAGAGTAGCCAACCATGTGTAAAAGCTGCCTATTATTTTTTTCACTCTAAAAGCTGCATATTAGGAATATTACAAAGGGGACCATACTATAACTGCAACTATGCCTGCTTTTCTCTTAATAAAATATAAGCATTTTAATTCATAGTGAATGCTGTAACCACTCTAAAGTCTAAACATTGAATCCATAAATAGCTTCATATAAAAAAATTACAATGATGAGAAGTGCTGATATCAAGTTAACTACTTGACAAGAACAAATAAGCGTAAAATATACATGCAGAATAATGGGGGTACCTTAATCTTTCCATCCTGTGATCCAGATGCCAGCATCTCAGAATCTCTACTGAAATCAACAGAAAGCACCGCATCATCGTGCATCATGAAGCTTTCCTGTAAAGTGGTTTTTGAAAATTATTGAAATTTATATTTAAACTAAAAAAAAGAACATATGCATGTCCCCATAAAGCTGCTGAACTTGAAGATGTTGCTTTCCACATGCACCAGTACAGTAATCGTGTTAATAACTTAATTCGTTGTTCAATTTGAGAAAACATCAATCCTATGGCCTTACGTCAGCTTGATATTGAAGATCCTTTTTAAGCTTCCCGCTGATATAATCCCAAACCTGAAAGTTTTAGTGAAATTTCAGCCAAGTTACATTAAAAGAACTGACCTGCAGAACAGACTTGAAAGAGACTTACCTCAATGATTCCATCCACTGAGCATGATACAAGGTACTGGCCATCAGGTGAAAATCGAGCACATTCAGGGTGAGTTTTCTTCCCGAACTGCAATAAAGAAAATAACATCTAGTTATAGTTGATAGTACACAATGCAAAATTATGTTATTGACTTATGGCCCCAAGGCCTGCACACAAGGCATCGTGCACTCTGTGTAGCACATGAGCAGCACACGCCGTTACAGTAAGCATGATTACTAGATCGCTGGTAATCTGTCTAATGGTAAATTTGATGTGAATGAAATAAGCGAGTCTCCCATCTAGAGGAGCTCTCTAGTGAACGGCTAATTGACAGAATATCAGAGCAAAAGGGGTGCTGGAAAATGGCGGGAGCAAAGAAGCTTAGTAATCCCCTTTAGTTTTTTCTTGGGTCTGCTAGTAACCCCCCAATGCCTTTCTATCTGTCCTGTTTAGCTTTTTTGAGGTGCACTTCACGCCATCATGTACATAATACTCTGCTTTCTTCTTATAAAGTCATAATATAAACAAAACAAAGAAGAATATTATTGTTCATGATGCAGCAAAAAAAAATCTGGATTAGTTGTGTTACGGATAAGATCCAATTTGAGTATCAAATAAACTGATTCTTTAATATTGGATATAAGTTCTTAGTAATGATACCATCATTTAGCTCACAGGTCAAGCAAAGAGTTAACCAAAAGCTCTAGTATGTCACTTTCTCCCTATATCTCAACCAGGCCTACCTTAACACTAGGTGGCTATAATGGCTGACCAGTCAAGTGTGAGAGCTAACTCGCTTCTCAAAAGCTCCCGGCTTTACAAAATCTCCCGACTAAGATCTACAACATCTGGTACCAGAACCAGCCACAGGGGACCTATATGCGGAAACCCAAGATTGCATCAGCCGTGCAAGGTAAGTTAGTGGCAATGCCGCAATGGAGAAGCAGAGTATCATATACAATATATTCTCTTGACAAACTCATGCTCATTAAGAATGCATGACAGAACACCTGAGCTACATCTTAGAACAGGTTTGTCTCTCATCAATTCTAACAAGTAACTAGCAGAGAGTAATAGCACACGTTCAGTGATCTTTAGCATTCTTACCCTGGTTAATTGCAGAACCTTAGTTCAAAAGATAGGTATCAGCATATGTTAAAGCTAGCTAATTAAGCTAACGTAATTAAATATTTGTCAGAATTCCTCCATTATCCAATCATGTCAGAAATCAGTTCTTTTAGACTTTTGAGCTCATTGATTTTAAAATTTAATCAGAAAATTTAACTTAATTAAGTTCCTTGGTATAAATAAAAGTGCCAATGTAATAAAGAGACTACAGCAAAAGAATCACCTTTGTTTGATGTGATAAAGTAGTAGGATATGTTTCCTCTTCATCTTGCTTCATTGCAGCAGTTCCTCTAAATAAATCAAACTGTGTGCCAGGTGGTAACAATCCTGTGACAAAAGTGGGGGAAGGACCTCAAGATGAGTTCATACTAGTCGTGCTGAGATCATTATAGTATAGTATCATAAGTTAATAACGTGCAACCAGGAAAGTACCTTGGTGCTGTTGCCATTTCAAAGCCTGACCAATCAGTGCCATTAACCGAGAAGGTGGAACTACTGAAACTTCAGAAGCAATAGCTGAAATTGGCATGGCAGAGGGACAACTATTATTAGGATTAGAAATAAGAATAGCTCCAGCTCCTGTATTATATGGAGTTAAGAGAACCTTTTAGTAAGGAAGAAGAAAAATGATCAGCAAGCTCACCTTGGGAAATCTGTGCACGTCGTTTCTCCTTGGTGGATTCTTGGTAGGCCTAGCGATGGAGTGGCATACCAGAAATTCACAATTTAGATAGCTAAAACAAGAAAAAGAACGCTACAAAAAACTATATACATGGAGAGCAAGTTACCAACCTCATTGGGGTCAAAGTATGTCCGGACAAGGAGATGCTCAAGCCTGAGGTACCGCTCGGGCTGCTCCTGCTTCATGACGCCCATGACCTGGGTCTGGCGGAGGATGGCGCGCGCCGTGTCCAGCTCACGGAGCTCAGCCATCTCGAGCACAATCTGCTCGTACAGGTCCTCGAGCTTCTTGCGCGGCAGCTTGAGCTGCGCAACCTGGGGCAGCACAGCGTCCCAGCGCCCGGCATTGATGTCGGCGATGAAGGTGTCGATGCTGTCGACGGTGTTGAGCGAGACCTGGCACTCGTTCTGCAGCGTCTGGAACGTCTGCTGCAGCGAGTTCTCCTTGCAGAACTGCAGCACTATCTTCACCACGCTGCATCCATGGACATCACGCAAGAAACACTATCAAACCTAGCAACCTTGCGTAATAATTTCCTAAGCTATAGCACTACCCAATGGGAGGGGGGGGGTTCTTAGCGAGCGAGAGACACAGAGAGATCCAAGAAACAGCATATGAAATTCGCTCGTCGATTCCCCTTCAATCCATGGACTAAACTTGTAGGGAGCAGAACGTAGGGTTTAGGGATTGCGGGGCTGGTTCTTCCGTCGCCGCAAGGTTCTCAGCTGTGGACTAGCAGAGGTGGAGAGAGGAGGGGGGGAGTGAATACGTACTCGCGGGCCTCGATCTCGAGGGTGGACGCCGACGACGCCATCTGCGGCTTCTGCGGGCGGCGGCGGCGGCGGCGGGTGGGGAGCGGCGGCCGGAGGACGGGAGGAGGTGGGGGAGTGGGGGAGATTGCCGGATTGTGGCTAGCGCGACGGGAAGTCGTCAACTTTTGGGCTGACGGGCCTTGTGGGCTTGCGGGCCATGGCCCATGGGCCTTTTTGGAGTTTTGATTGATTGAGATGATGGTAATACGCAGGATTGCTATTCGGCGATAAGTCGCGCGCCTCCCTCCCCGCGCGACTGGACACGTGTCGCGCGCGGAGAGGGGGCGGCGACGCGCCGGAGGGAGGAGCGAATTTTTTGTTTTTTTCCCTTTTTTTCGTTTTTGTTCGGTTGGTTTTTTCACCGGTTTTTTTTTGTTTCTGTTTGGTTTTTTTCCTCCGATTTTTTCTCTGTTCGGTTTGTAATTTTTCCGGTTTCTTTTCTGTTCGGCTTATTTTCCTTTTTTTCAAGATGTATAAATACCAAGTTTGTATTCGTATGTATACTAAGTTTGTATTCGTAAATATAGAATATAGAATGTTTGTATATGCGCATATAAACTTTCTATATGCGTATACAAACTTTCTATACGCATATACAAAGTTTGTATACACATATACAAAGTTTATATACGCGTATATAAATTTTCTATACGCATATCAAAGTTTGTATACACATATACAAAGTTTATTTGTATACAAACTTTCTATTCATGATGTATTTTTTTTATTTTTTATGCGTATATAAACTTTGTGTATGTGTGTATATATTTTTTATGCATTGAAATATATTCATAAAAATATATATACATGTATATATATATATAGTATATAGTACTACATATGAGAGACTAGAGGGGGAAGGGGGGCGACTGACCGCGCGCCTCCGCGCGCGGGCTGCTGATCGCGTATCAGCCACCCCCCCCCCCCACAATAGGGGGGCGACTGACCGCGCGCCTCCGCGCGCGGGCTGCTGATCGCGTATCAGCCACCCCCCCCCCCCACAATACGAGTGAGTTTCACTTGCCTGTAGATATTTTTGATTTCAAAGAAACTCAACAGATTTGAAGTAGCGAATCATAAAGCTATATACGTTTGATGCAAAATTTGTCACAAAATTACATATTTACAATGTACAAAAATAACTACAGATCTAAGGGTGGACGAAAAGCTTGTGACTCGTTAGCTCGCTCGACTCGCGACAAGCTCAGCTCGTTTCATTTTTCTAACAAGCCGAGCTGTCCAGCTCGAGCCTTAACAAGCTAAAGTAATAAGTAACACCTCAAGAGGCCACAGGCCACAACCCACAGACCCAGATTTTTAGAAGGCAAAATCTAAACCGAGAGGCTTCTCGGTTTAGTGTTAACCAGCAACGAATGGATTGTGAGATGAAGTACTGCTACACGTGCTGACGTGCCTTGTTTTTTCTCTTAGACATGCATGTCTTTTTCTTCCTTCTTATAAAGTTTTCTCTCAAATTACTTATCCGATCTATAATCCGATCGCACCATTGTATTCGTTACAATTAAATCTTCACAACAAGATCTTACATGATTATATTATGATGAAAAAATATTTATATTTGTAAATTACTTTTATTATATACGTAAGTTACTTTTATCATATATATAAGTTACTTTTAGATTTGACTAAGTTACTTCTTAGACATATAAAAGTAAATTCAATAAAGTCTAAAAGGTATTTACATGTATTATAAAAGTATCTTAAAATAACTTTGTCACGACATTAGAAGTAAATTCATTAAAGTTACTTTCTTTTTTGTTATAAGTTACTTCTATAATATATGTAAATTACTTTTAAGCTTTATTGAATTTACTTTTATATATCGAAGAAGTAATTTAGTAAAATCTAAAAGTAATTTAGATTTATTATAAAAGTAATTTATAATTTTTTATCAAAATATAATCATGTGAGATCTTGTTATAAAGATTTAATTGTTACGAACACAACGGTGTAATCGGATTGTAGATCGGATGAGTAGTTTAAGAGAAAATTTTATTTAAAGTATAGGTGGATAGAGTCTCTTATAGGTGAAGTGGTAGCTGGTTTAGACAAACTAGCTACCACTAGTTGTGTAGTCACGTCCTTTTTAAGAAGGCCCAACAACATCAACACTTTAGCTCTAGATTCCTTTTTGATGCCGCCTGCGGCCTGCCTCCTTACTTCCTCAGGCGAGTGCGGCTGTGTGGGTCTCCTCACCAACCATCATCGCTACTCAGTACTACTCCGTACTTCCTCAGTCAAAAAAAAAATCAACTTATAGAGTTTGAGTTTTGTCCCGCAGAAAACTAACTTCTATCATTCTATCTACCCACATCACTCAAAATGAGAAACACTCTTAGGCTGTGTTCGTTGGCTATGGTTGGGAACCTTACCCTCCCGCACGAAAAACGGAGCGATCCATTAGCGCGTGATTAATTAAGTATTAGCTAATTTTTTTAAAAAAATGGATTAATTTGATTTTTAAGCAACTTTCGTATAGAAACTTTTTTGCAAAAAAACGCACCGTTTAGCAGTTTGAAAAGCGTGCGCGTGGAAAACAAGGGAGAGGAGTTGGAAAAAGGGCATCAAACATACCCTTACTACTTTTTCTAATAATTAAGGGTATTGTAGTTATTCTATATCTCTACTAATTTCACCTCATGATGTTAGGAGTGGATTTTTTTTTTTTTACGAAAGGAGTATTTCGCTAGCGCCGCTCATCGCCCACGCCGCTCGTCGCAACCAGGTTCGCGGAATTGCCTCCGTCTTCGCGACCGTGCCACTCTCGATCCTCTTCTCTCTCATGCCACCAGCGCCACACCTCTCGTCGTCCGCCGCTGACTGTGAGGCCGTGCTGCTGTCGGCAATTCGGCACTGCAAGTCGATCTGAATGTTATTTTTGGCTTGGTGATTTGTTTGATGGGTCTTTTGGTTGGTTCCAAGTACTACCTCCGTTTTAAGTTATAAGACTTTCTAGCATTATCTATATTCATATAAATATAATAAATTTAGACACACATATATATCTAGATTCATTAACGTATATATAAATGTGGACAATATTATAAAGTCTTATAATATGAAACAGAGGAAGTAACTTCTAACTTAACCAGCTTTCCATCCAGATCTGGTAAAGCTCGGTTGATTACATGTTTTGATTATGCAATATTTCGAATTGATGTGTAAAAAAAATTATGCCAAGACTTTGTGATTTGACTGTTGCTTGATTTTTTTTATTCAATTGCAAAAGATGTTCCTGGCAGCTAATCTTTGATGCCAATCTTTGAAGGCAAGATAGTTAATGCATTTATTGGCTTGTGAGCTAAATGAGCTAGCTTGAGTCGTCGACCGAGCCAAACCGAGCTAGGGTTTTAGCTCGATAGGATAACGAGCCGTCCTAGCGAGCTAAACCGAGCTGAGCCGAGCCAGTTCGGTATCCACCCATATACAGATTAAAAAAGTACCAAAAAATGCATATTACATAAAGGTTCTGTCATAACTTTGTTATCCCGATGGAACTTTTAAACGATGTAGCTTTTCTATTAAGTTATGTGTTAGATCAAAAACTCTGTCATAACTTTACTTAAATGAGTAGGTTTTTCTTAACTACTCCCTCCATCCTAAAATATAAGTATTTTTAGATTCTAACACAGTCTCCGAGATGCTACTTTGACCAACAATATCTATAAAAGTAATATGTGTTAAATAAAAAGAGTTGCATATATTATGATAGTTTGTTTAATGATAAATATAGTAACATCAATTCTATATAATTGATATTTTTTTATTATTTTGTTATTAATAGTTAAAGTTAAAAATGGTTGACTTAAATGCTTATATTTTGGGACGGATGGAGTATTTTTTAAAAGTATAGTTGTTCCCTTCTCCTTCCTCCCTTAAAAAAAGGCTCAATTACTTTAAAATAACCTCTCAAGAAAAATCACTTCCCCTTAAAATAAACCACCCTTAAAAAACGGACGTGACTACATAGCTAGTGGTAGCTGGTTTGTATAAACTAGCTACCACTTCATCTATGAGAAATCTTATCCACATATATTTCAAATAAAATTTTCTCTTAAACTACTCATCCGACCTACGATCCGATTACACCGTTGTATTCGTAACAATTAAATATTTCTAACAAGATCTCACATTATTATATTTTGATGAAAAATTGTAAATTACTTTTATAATATATCTAAATTACTTTTAGATTTCACTAAGTTAGTTCTTAGATATATAAAAGTAAATTTAATAAAGCCTAAAAGTAATTTACATATATTATAGAAGTAACTTATAAAAAAAGAAAGTAACTTTAATGCATGTCTTTTTTTCATAGAACGTGACTACACAACTAGTGGTAGCCACTCCATCCAGTGTCTCATTTGAACTTGAAAAATGCAGTAGTATGTATCTTTTCTTAATCTTTTTAATAACTTATATCTTTTAAATCACATATTATTTTTAAGATCTATTTGCATCATTTTACTCCACTCAAAATATGTGACAAAACGAGATCCATATTGAATATATTCAAACATTTTATTAACTTAAAAGTAATTTATTACATGTTAGAAAGTAACTTCCATGTTATCATGAAGTAACTATTACGTCTTATACATGATTAACTCTCATTAGTTATTCCACCAATGTTATTTATATTCCATCAAAGGTTTTATCTTCTTTTCTCATTCTACATGAAAAACAAAAATAAAAGGAAAAAACAATATATGATTAAGCAGATTTATAGAGAGTTACTTCTGAACAATGTAAAAGTTACTTCCAATTAACACTGAAGTTACTTTTAAAAATTGTTAAACTTACATGTGCTGATCTGTGCTGATTAAATTTAATTTCTATATATAGTCATATTTTTATCCCTACAATGAATTTACTTCTAATACCGGGACAAAGTTACTTCGGTTTTATATTAAGTTACTTTTATAATACATATGTAAAATACTTTTAAAGTTACTAAATTTACTTTTATATGTCTAAGAAGTAACTTAGTGAAATCTAAAAGTAATTTAGATATATTATAAAAGTAATTTATATTTTTTCATCAAAATATAATCATGTGAGATCTTGTTATAAAGATTTAATTGTTACGAATACA